GGCGGCCCCTCCAGCCACGGGCCCCGGGTCCCTGGGGTTGCTGGGCTTCTCCTCACTCCTAGAGATCAAAACAGCGGTGGAATACAGCAGTGACCTTACTTGTTAGAACTGCTAAGCTCTGGAAGATATTTGACTTCAAATTGCATCTTTATTCTCCCCTGATTACAGTTATAAGAGTCACTGCGGGGAAATGAAGCTCATTCATACCCATCTCAGAGAATTCTGAGACTAAGACTGTATTTATGCTAGAAAAGACACTGAATCTTCATGCAAAGCATCTCTAAACAGTACAAGAAAAAAATATCTTGAATAAATCCCTGCATTATAATCAGTCTGCACATTTTGTTCTCATAAACTGTGTTTAAAATATTTTTTATCTTACAGATACCCTTACAGACTGTACCTGAGACATCACCAAACATTTCCATACAAAACATTGGTACCAATTGGAATTGACTTCTCCAGTGAAGCAGTGTAAAATACATTCTCGTATTCTGTATATTTACAAAATAATCAAGTAAACCTTCACACCTGCTCAACTAATCTCATTAAAGAACAACATAAGCAAAATTCTTATCAGTCTTACCATAATATTCCTACATTGAACTCAGTAAAATCAAATTCTTTTTAAAGTGGAACTGCATAGGTAGTAATAAATAATGTAGTCCTTTATTATTTCCAGCTCATAAACCAATTTCATGTTATATTAAAGATGTTAAGTGATTTCTGAATAAATGGGACCATGCTTCATCTGTGCAAGAGGGCATCTGTATGCTTTAGACTCCCCAAGGTTTGTTGTCTTTTCATTAGGACTATGCAGATGGTCTCTGCTTCACGTGATACTGGGTCAGTTGACTGATTGAATTAGGAAAGTATCAAACAAGAGAGGATCGGTGAATACACAGAAATTGAGAGATTTTTATTCTCTCCCAGTCAAGAGCCTTTGGATTTTTGTATATTGTTTCTAAAAATTGCTTCTGCAACACCAAAGCTAAAAAGAAGAGGTTGGAGTTTGGTTTGGTTGGTTTTAAGAGGACTGTGTTATCTATCCAGCTACCCTGACAACTGAGTGTCTCATATAGACCAAAATTGTCTGTTTGCAGATGAATCTGAAAAAGAGAAATCAAAGCAGTAAGGGAAGAAGTAAGGCATGTGTAGAAGGAGAGAGGGCAGGGAATATGCTAAGAAGCTAATGATGATAATCCTATTTAGCACACCAAACACAGGAGAAACCCATGATAGAAGCTACTGAAGAGAGCAGATTTTGATTCATAGACAAACAACAGAATTTCTACAAAGGAATGCTGTTCCCTGATACTGGGATAGAAAACTCTTTTATCTGAGCTTTTAGGACCCTTAAATGAAAAGGAATTACATTCTGATCATATAAAAAACTGGTCTATTAATTAACAGTTAGTCAGTGCTTGCATTGTGTTCCTGGTGGCCCAGTTATGAAGACAAGGAGGGGAAATATCATAAATGAATGCTGAAAACATATAACCATTGTTAGCCAATTGCTTTTGATTTAAAAATATTTTAAAGTCAAATTCTTTCAGATCTTCTTTTACAGGAGAGGCATCTCATTCTGGAATACCTGATATCTCTTTTTTCCACAGTAACCTCATATGCCACCCTGCAACCACATTCACACGTAGGATACTTGTCCTTCCTCTTGAGAAAATTTACGGGACTTCAGACCTTGGTGAGTTTTGAAAAAAAAATTCAGTGAGAAGGCCAACATTCATTTTACACGGCTAAAAATTTCAAAGGAAGTTTCTATACCTCAAATTTACATTTATGATTTCTGAGGCTTTGGATTTCTGTCCTTTATCTGAGGCCTGACTTGATGTCAAAATAGAAGTAATAAGAATCAACATGATGTTCTCTGAATGTTTTACACAAGAGTGAAAAGTGTATGAAGAATACAATTAACTGCATTTCCATTATCCTTTATGTGAGACAGCAACCTCTGGACTTAGCTGACAAATTGTCTAAATCAAAAAGTGCTCAGACTATGTATAGTTTATACTGTAAGTTGTAGACATAAGAAGTTTTGGGTGGTAGGGTGTATTTTTGTTCCTCTTGGTTTGCATTCAAAGAGAATAAGTATTCCTGATCCATCCAAATTCAGCATAAACTTTGTCATTCCTAACAGGATCTCAAACAAGCTTTGCAAAAGGAAATTCAGGCAGCATGTGTTCAAAGACACCAGTGCCGTGATATTAATTTCTGATGAAGTAATGTAGACTAAGTTGATCTTGGATTAGGTCTGGAGAATGAGACTGAATGTGTCCTCAGTTTGAAGCCAAACTGAGGTTAATCTGTCTGTAAGAAGCTGTAGGCCAGATTCTCTCTAAGAAATCCAGCCCTTTTGCCCTGATCTGGTTTTGTAAAGGGTCTGGAGAGCAATCAAGTCTTGTAGGATGCACATTCCTCAAGGATGGAGCTGAACAAACTGAGAGCAGAACTGACACATTTGGCTTGTCTGTCAGACCCCCTGCAATCTGCACGTGGAGAGCACGACAGGGTCAGGATGAGGCAGCCACATGGCCAGTGCTGTAATACAGTGTGCTAAACAGCATTATTCCCCTGCTTCCTTGCTTTCTCTGCTGAGGTTTACCAATGTAAAAACACAGTACAGATCTTACATGAGCCTTCCACACTCACTGCCTCCTTCCAAAGTTACACATTCATCCTAAATTTACACCAAATATTTCATCTTAAAATGAATCAATTATTAGTACTGTGCCAACAATCTCCCTCAATGCAATTTTTGCAGCTGCTTGCAGTGGATCCATCATCATAGCATATGAATATGTGTCATATTTATATTCTAAAATTGCATGGCAAATGACCCCATTTCATTGTTACATTGGAAACCACTATTTCCACCATTTGTAGCAAACTTGAAGCAAATTACTTAAATAAATTTAAATTAAATTAAATAAATATAGGCTATTAATAAATGGAGTTAATATAATATAATGTAATATAAATAATGGAGTTTTCTTTTTGTGGTTTTTGTGAAAAATTACATTGCGCTATAGCTGTATAATGTATAATGCGACTGCATTTGCTAACTAGTGTCACAAAAGAGAGATTTTTCAGCATTACCGTCATAAAGCTTTAGAACATTCTTTGGAAGGTTCTACAATAAATGTTTCACTTCTGATAGTATTTGGTGCAGTCCATGAAATCTAAGTCATTAGCTACTAAACTGAAAATATCTTTTTAAGACCTCTCATAGCCATCTGCTATGCTCTGTTTTCATTTGGTGCCATGTGTGTATTAATGAAATGATTGCATCAGATTAAATCTTTTATTCATAAAATCATCTAGGTCATCTGCTTCTACCTACACTTTCTCTCTCATTAAAATAAGCATTTGTGTGTACATTCCCTCCCCACTGTATGAGTACAACTCTAGCTACAGTTAGCTGCTGAATGTAGATCTTAATAAGAAATCCCTCTCCATGTCTTTTTCTCATATGAAATTCCCTCAAAGGATAACTCTAATATATCACAGCAGAGAAAGTGTATTTTTCCCACAGTTTTGAAAGTAATGACTTCCCAAAAGGTAAAAGATTTGGATGTGCTAATGACTTCAGTCCTTGACAAGAGAAAGCAACATTGCAAGAATATTCATTTTGCTGCCAGGAAATGGGTAGCACACTCTTCCCATCAGTCAGCAGTGTTTGTGTCAAAGCTGTCAATTGCAGGGTGGGCTCCTGAGGTCCTTGTTGTGAGCAGGGAATAGAGCCTGCATTTATGTGCTTCATGCTTGACAGAAGCTGTGTCAGATGCACAGAATTCAGGGTTTCCTGTAATGCACAAACAAACAAAACACCCTGATAACTTAATAATCAAATTAAGACTCTATTATGCATCAGAGGTCTATATCTAAAAATGAAGATTGCAATAGATGGAAAGCTATTGAAGAAAACAAATAATGTAATCAGTGAAGAAGGAATAAATCTATGAATAGTCATTAACTTTGAAAGTGAGGGTTCATAAGTCAGGTTGAAGCTCCATAACTATCCTTGCAAGGGGATAAGGGGGCTATCATAAGAAACATTCACAATGGGGGCAGGTACTAAGTAAATATTCCACAATCTTGTGAGCTAAGGGGATTTAAAATATCAAAATAGAACTGCTTTAATGAAAAAAGTTAAGTATCGTACTTTCTTGTTACAGAACATTTTATTTCCTGACAGAAAAAAAATCACCTAAGTTTTATGGGGCTCTTGTAAGCTGTCCACAGGGATCTTTCTATACACAAATTAACAGCTCAAATCAATTTCCTAGGAAATAACTTGGACCTGTATAGTGAGTGACACTTGCATTTACTTCTGGCATATTTACAGCTTCTAATGCAGCAGCATTTGCACTTCTTGCAAACTCAGATTTATTTGCAGGTAGGATGCAGCCAGGAGAAGGAAAATATCTTTTAAACAAATACTTATTATTTGACAGGCTCTGCAAAGAAATACAAAAGTAAAATATTCTACTGACCAGTAGATGCTACTGACCATCTGCTGCCAGTCTGTTGAGTTTCCTTTCTGACTCTCACCAATCTCAAAAAAGCACTCACATTTTGCTAAAGCGTCCAAACATCCATTAATGCAATGTCATGGATTATGATGATTTAAGTGTAAATTTGCCAATTTTAAATAAGCAAATCTTATGTGAGTTTTTGTTTCAGTTTTCTTTTTAAGTTTTCATATACATTAATGAAAGAGCCTTTCAAAAATACCTTGGACAGAAAAGAGTATGAAGTATTCCTCTATAAACAGATTTAGTACACATTTCAAGGATGAAAAAGGTATCTACATACTAATATTAATTCAATATGGGAGTGAAAATTTTTCACTGTAGAACAAATGATTTTATTCCTAGAGTCTATCCTTTCAAAGATACGTACTACAAAATAAATGTAGCCTAATATAACTGATTAGGGCATTGTGGCAAAATACCAGCCAATTATACCAGGATGCCAGAGCCAATGCAGAATATTGTTAGACTCAGTTTGGCAAACCTTATCTTTCTCTTTTCCATCAAAAAGAGTTACAAATTTTCATCAGAAGAAACATAATTAAATTTAACTTTAATAATACCTTTAAAAATGTATATTATATCATAATATCTTCATTCTGTGGTAGTAAATTTTCATTGTACTAATAGCAATTCCCACTGGCTTTAGATGAGCCAGAATTTTAAAACCTTGAAGATATTTATACCAGAACATTTTAAAAATTTTTATGGCAGAATATGAATTATGAGAAAGTTATGGAATGCTTCAGAATATCCAGAACAACAGAAAATCTATTAATAAGGAAAGAGTCCTCTCTACTGGAACTCCTGGCAGCATTTTGATGCTTTTCCTATTCCATACCAAAAAAAGAAAAACAAAAAAAAAAAAGAAGAAAATAAAGGTTGAGAAAACATGCTTCAGTATTTCAGCATGAATGCATTACATCAAGCACTTTTTTCCCGACCTACTGCTTATCTCTGCCCTGTCTACATTTGCCTTCAACCAAATGCTGAATCTCGGCACTCCCAGCTGCCTTCAGTTCGATGACAGGATTTACCAAGGAGTTCTTTCCCTTTGTTTTGATCACTACACCACCATATGTCTTCAGCATTCCTGGTGCCCCCACTCTTGTCCTCTCCCTCCCCAGCTCACCAGTCACAGAAGGGAATTCACATTACATTAAAGCTTCCCTTCAGAAGCCAGGCTGAAACAATCCCTTGAAATAACTAGGGCATTCGAGTGATTGACTTGAAAGTAAACTATGTCAGTGAACGGGAGTGAGAAGCAGGAGCTCAGTAAGAAATGCAGATGGTTTTTAATCCTTCTGTCATTCAAAGATTCTACAGTTGTAACAAAAATTTGTGAAATATATTTGATATTAATTCTATTCCAGACACATAAGGTATAAATACATATTCAAGGGTGCACGAATGTATGTATTTATGCATGTGTGTCCTGGCTGGGGAGTTCTGTGTGGTGAGACAGAAACTGTTGAGGGGCAAGGTGGATCAAGTCAGGTTGCAGAACTGAAAGCCATCCAGCTGGGCCTGGAAAAGCAAGTACTATGTAGACATGGAACCCCAGAAAGAATTGAGCTGGACAATGGGACTCATTTTCAAAATAAACTCATAGACACCTTTGCCAGAGAGCACAGTATTAACTGGGGGTGTCATATTCTCTATCATGCACTGGCCTCTGGAAAAATTGAGTGGCACAATGGAGTGTTTACACTGAAAGTAGTGGGTGGTGGAACTTCCAAACACTGAGATTTACATTTTAGTGAAAATTGGTTAACACCTGATTAGTTAACAGAGCAGGCTTCACCTCTCGAGCTGGTCCTGCTCAGTCAGAACCTGCTTACCACAGAAGGGGATAAAATTCCCCATAGTGCACATGAGGAATGTGTTAGAGAAGAGTGTCTGGATTAAGCAAAGGCAAACCCAGCCATAGGAATTGTCCAGGAATCCTCCTCTCTATGAGATTACTGAAGTGAGTTAAATTGGTTCTGTGGGGAAAATATATTTAAATTTCACAAGATTTTAGACTTTGTCCCAGGTAAGATCCTAGATAAAAGCTATTGAATTTTGGCTTTCAGTGACGTTAGTACACATGGGCCAAGAATATATAGTCATGGATTTGAGAAAAGAATCTTACATACTTTGTGGAGGCCATTAAATTTTTTAAAAATTCTTTTCAAATTAATGTGATTTTATAAATATTCAGTAGTATCAGTTTTTTAGTCTAGAATCTTTAATCTAGTATATAGAGCTAAGCACTTTTACTGGAAATTACCAATTTATAGAGCCAGAACGTTTTCTCAGACCCATTCCAATCATGCACATCTGAAATTTCACAGGTGGTGATTAAAACTGGCATTTTTGTGAGTTCCACAACTGTTACTAATATACAGCATCTGCTCAGTGCTGTGCAACATGCTTTGTTTTCATAACACCATTTGTTAATCTTTCCTAAAGAAAAAGATTTCCAGGATGAGTATTTAGTTAAATTTTGTAATATTTCCATTTCAAAATGGGGCAAAATCAAATTCAGAATATCAATTTCTCTTATGTCACAGGAAATTGAATGCTTACCTATAGATTTTGCTAAATATTTAGTGTTCTGAAATATTCTAGTCATAACTATATTTTTCAGAATCTATTAGAAATGGTGTACTTTCAACTATAATGCGGGAATCTGTGACACAACAAGAGAAAGAGATAAATTCAATCATTCATGAAACATTGTAGGACAGCTGCAAATGTGTGTGATTTATTTATGTTTTTAAGAAAAAGATAGATCAGCATTATGTGTAATGGCACTATAGATTGAAAGTTTTTTTCTAGATGACAGTGAAACTCACATAATTTCTTGCATAGGTTAGAGTTGCTCAAGGGCTGCATTTATGTACATCCTATGCAAATCTGTCCTCGTTTGAATCAAGTATTTACTTGGCATTTTAGATTTAGAAATTCTGCTCTGCAGTGTTCGCATCCTCTTTCACACTTTGCCTGCAAGAACCTGAGGATTGTTTTCCTCTGATCAACTTAACCAAGCTATTGCTGATTTATAGAAATAAAAACAAAAAAAGGAAAAGAAAATTTGACATGGTACCTTGCTTCATGATTTCACTAATCTAAAGCTGTGTCTGTTCTACAAGTAGGAAAGAGCATGGAGTAATCTTCCATTGCTCTGTCCACACCTTTACCACATTCCCAGGAGCTGGGCCCTGGGCAGGCCCTAGGCCTCACCCTACCAGCAGCACCAAGCATCTCTTTGAGTCATCCCTGGACGCGTTTCCCACTTGGGCTTGCCCAGCTCCACACCAGGTGGGGATCAAGGGCAGCTGAAGGGCTGCATTACACACCTCTTGTGAGGCTAAACACCTAAACCAGAGCCTGAACCACAGTCTTTAAAATATTTGTCATTTGAACTTCAAGGGATGCAACAGAGTGTGAATGTCATATATTTATACTTACATGCAAATGGATAAATATTTATATTGTAAACATTTTTACCAACTATTGATTTTTTTACCAGTTACTAAAATGTATTGTCAATAATACATCAGTTTTACCTATGTTTTCTGGGTTTTTCTCAGATTTTCAGGCATCTCTTACACCTGTAAGAGTGTAAACACACTATGTGTTTGTATGTCTGTACCTGCCAAAACACAAGAAAATAAATCTCTTTTCTTCAATAACCCTCTACATAATATCTCCATTTCACACACAAATTTCCCAAGACAGAGTCACTCAGACTGTACTCAAGCCCATAAGGAAGTCATACCTCCTAACACAGGACAGTAACTCTCCCTTTCCCCTTCCTGATTTTCTACACAGAGGCTGGATGAAACACATTCTTCCTTGTGGAAACTTCTGAGAATGAATCTGTGAAGGACTTGCTGCATCCCAGAGACTTCCCTTTGCCTAAAAAGAAAAGAGGGTTTGCAGTGAATCAAAAAGCCAGAAGGACTAGGGCCCTCAAGCTTTTGATTTAAGATTTTTCAATGCTTAAAAGAGATGAAAATTACAAACAGCTTTCAGATGGGAGTTTCAAGATGCCATAGTGAGACATAGCTCCCCACTGCTTTCTCAAAACAGACCCTCTCCTAATCTTAAAAAAACTAGAAATCAGTTGATTTCCAGTCCTGGTTTCACTGTGTAAGTATATCCATCCTACAGTTTTAGTGGACAAAAATCAGGCAAGGTAATTCAAGTTAGTTCTGATAAGCACTAATAGGCTTCATCTCTTTAAAATGCATTTTAATCAGTAATATGGCAAAAAAAAAGCATGGATAAATTATTGTTCTGCTTTGTTTCATCTGTGTTTTTTTATACACTTCATAATTGTGACTATTTCCTTGGCTTGAGGGATCAGTATTGGGACAGAAATTGTATTACAAAGGGAAAAGGCTCACAGGAATGCTAGAGCAATGGGGAAGAGAAAAAAATGTCAGCCAGTTCCACAGGGTTTTAATAAATATTTGTGAAGCATATTTAGTTTCATTACACCAACTAGTTATCAAAGTCCAAAGCTGTGCTACCTGAAATGTCAGTGCAAAGTGTACCTAGGGCTTGAAGGCACAATGCACAGCAAAAATAAATGTGTGAAATCCAAATATGACTGCCACAAAAACAAACAACACATGAGAGAAAACATGAGCTCAAAGATAGATCAATTAATCCAAAGAACACCAACTAGACGGGTGGATGAGTCACACACACAGTGTAGGCACAGCTTCTGCTGAATGGAAAATACAACTTAACACCACATGTTTCACTCTGAAAGACAATGAGGCCAACAGGAGAAACTAAATTGGGTGGCAAGCCTCCCACCTGCACCATGGCTGCAGACACATTCTCAAACAGGGAGCTGGGGCTGAGTTTCCCCTTTTGAAAAGTCATTCTTTTTAGGATCAGCCCTTCTCAATAATGTGATTTTCTTCAGTTTTTAAGACTGGGGTGGAGGCGGGAGAAAGTATGATGTAAAGACATTGATTTTGACATCATAAATAAGATGCTATGCTTTCTTTTCACTGGGAGGATTGTTCAGAGAAATATATCAAGTGTATATATCAAAAGAATTGAATTAAAAATATTTAATTGTTCTTTTCCCAGCAGCAGGGGAAAACAGTCTTTCCAGAATTAGAAACTGCCAACATACTTGCTTCACAAGGCATGATGATTGTCCTGCAGAGACCTATCACAGCTGCCTTTGGAACAAATCAAGCATGCTGCTATAATGGCTGTAATTATCTTGTTAAAATATTTTTATTTTTCATTAAGTGAATGTGTAGATAAGAAAATCAGATCACAACACACACTGAAAAGCAAAGTTAAAGAAGTGCATAACCCAAATTCTAAGTGGACTTCTGTGACTGGTTATTATTGCCTTCTTACTTAAGAGAGCACAAAAGTGTTTCTTATTTATGATATTTATTATGACAATCGTTTTCTCAGAAGTCAGAGAGTATATTCAGAGGTATGCATCAAGTTGCACTAGAATCTAGATTGAATCACAGAGTGTGAAATATCCACACAAAATGCCCTTTCACAGACACAAAAATCCACTTGATTCTTTTTAGCTGCTATATTCAGTGGTTTATTGAAAGCATGCACTGGAGATTTACATGATAGGAAGGAATAAAAATGTTTTGGAAGATATCCATACCCTCACCTACTTTAGACAGCCCTACTAGTATCATCAGCTTTAAAACAAGAGCAGTGTTTAGAATTATCTGACCAGAGATTTTGGCCCTTTTTTCTTTTCTTTCTTTCTTTTTTTTTTTTTTTATGGACCTAAGAATATAGTGCAGCCTTTTTGTTCCACATTTAAGGTATATCTGAAGTTCTGGTCCTCCAAAGAAATACTTACTGAAGCAAAATGCATTAGACTCTTCAAGAGATTTTTCAAAAGGTAAATTTGTAAATTTTAAATGATTACAGAAATGGCTGAAGTTTGATACAGTACCCTTTTTCCCTAACCTACTTCTCTCCATTGCTTTCACCAGGCAAATTGGTTCGCCAGGTTTTAGAAAGACCAGGGAACTGGGAAGAGAATAGCAAATGAATGGGCAGAGTTCATGTCATGAATTAACCGCAGGAGTGACTTGTGATACACAGGTCTTGCTGAGAGCCCAGGAATTTCATTATATACTCTTCAGTGCCATCTGCTGTAACCAGATAAATCCAAAATTTAAGAGATAATCAAATAGCCAGTGTCAACAGCTGCATGGCAAGGAACTCTAGGCTTAGGTTTCTTCTATGAGGCTAGAATCCTGTTAAGGAATCAAGCACACATCATTGTCAAAGATTAAGAACTTGCTCTCAACTATGAACACATTCTTTCAGCTTTTTGCCTCAATTTCTTAAGCTGTAGCAAAACACCCTTTACACAGTTTAGGGAGAATTGTTGTTTTCACACCTCAACATCTCCTCCAGCCAAGCAGGGACAGAACTGCACCTGCTGGTGTGACTGGAGAGCAGCTGTCCATTTCACATTCACCCTGAGAGCTTGGGAAAGAGAAGTCAAGAAACAATATCTTCCAAGGTACAAGTTGGATTTGGGTGCCTGGACTCCATAAACCTAAGTTTCTAAGACAACAGCAAAGCCTTTATCTCCTCTTCCACCAACCATTAAAGCTGCTTTGTTAGATGAAGAAAATATAGCTCTGTTAAATACTATATTATCTTAATGTCTTTTCTGCAGTTATTGCAAAGAAAATAATGAAGACTTTTGTGTGCTTCTTAGAGCAAGTGTACAGTGTGATTGATTATATCAATTCTGTTCTTCAGGACTTAGACAGAGCTCTAAAGCTCAGAGTCCTAGAGAACAACACTCTGCAGAAAACTAATTTTTTTCCAACAGGAATTCCACAATTGTTCATCACAAGTTATATAATGCATTTTCCAACAGAACATTTCATAAAATTCATGTACTGTCATGTATATTTTGTCTGTGGAAATGATATGCCACAGCATAATAGAATCATAAAGTTTGGAAGTGACTCCCAAATCGAACATCAAATTGTTTGGAAGTGACATCAAATCCAACCTTTCCCAAAAATCACTAATAAACTATAACAAAAAGTGTTACTCCATGATCTGTTTTATGTTAGCTTTAGGACCCTAAAACTTACATAGGGACTCTATTTCTCTGGAGGCTACAGAAGACACACAGAAAAATTTCCTATACCACAAACCTTTTAATCTAAGTAGTCAAAACAAAGGAAAACAAAATCAAACCAATCATCTTTTTTTCTTGTTTCATACAGAGAAATCCCAGCCAGTAGCACCTGCACTGCATTTCCAGAATGGGAAGTGTTGTAGATTTAGCAAAGAACCACCAGCAGTTTGTTGGGTTTTGCATAGCAGTATTTATCTGTTCTGTGGTATTTGTGGCATTCTCTATACTTAGATTGGCAAATGCCACAAATTCCATGGTAAATTTAAACAGTGTGAGTGATAAATGTCAAGCTTTTAATAGCACCCACTGTCCCTCTGTCACCACATGACCCTATTAGGAGATTGCACAATCACTATCTCTGTATAATTTCTTATACAAGAAATAGCCTCACAGCACTTTCAATGGCAAGATATCTGCTTTGTCTGAGCAATGGGGCTCTTTGAATATCTCCTGCAAAAAGAAGAGCCTGCAGGATACTTACTATTCCTGATGATTTCACTTGCTTTTTATTTACAAAAATAAAGTCAGAATGTAGTTTCCTATTTCTGTTAGGTGCCAGTACAATGGACAGAATTCATGATCTTAGCTGAAATGGCAGAAAAAGTTTGATGACAACAGGTGACAATATGTTCCATCAGAAGGAAAAGTCTGCAAAACCGTTGCTGCAGCCATTACAATGCAGAATGCGACACCAGACATCACAAAAGTTTTCTCTGGCCATTTTTTACACTTTTAGCAGTATAGTATCTCTGTGGCATTTTTTGACTGTAGATTGTAAGAAGGAAAGAGTATTTCACATTGTCACTAAAAAATACTTAAGTTCTGATCTCAGAATTCCAAAGTTCTGAGGTTTTCCTCTGAGCACAAAAATAAATCAAGAATTAACTTCTGCCTTAGGAACAAGGCTACAAAATATTCACATTTTTGTCTCACTGAAATCCCTCTGTGATGTTTCTGACCAGAAATATTTTCCTTTCCATTTGCTGTGTGGTACAGACGTGGTCTCTGAAACTTGTTACTGAGTCAGAGATGCCCTTCCATGGCAAAGTTAAAGAGAAGGCTTAGGGAAAAAATTGGTATGCATATATATGCACAAATATGGAAGAATATATTTCAGTGTGCATGTATGTGTCTGTATGTGTATATATATGTATATATATATGCTTCTAATATATACATATAAGAAGTAAAGTGGTTTTCTCTTATGACTTGTTCAGTGGTTTGTCTTTAAAATCTGCTGAGATTTCTAGTTTTGCAAGAACTCTTCTCCTCTCTGACTTATCAGAGAATCAGAGCATTGTAAACACATATATACACACAGAACTAAAGTAGAAAGTTTTCTTGTTTAAGGTTAATGGTTCTTATTCTCTTTAGGTTTGGGGTTTGGTTTTTAATATAAAATAGTGACTGTTTTTGAAGATGGAAGTCTGTGTCTTGGAAATAATTTATATAATCAAAATTAAACATAAATAAGATTTAATGTGAAATTTAGTGTCAGAACTCATCTATTACATGAGGATATGCCTTGCATTCCCTAAATGTTGATTCTTTCTTTGATAGCAGATACTGTAAAATCACTGTGCTTCTGGATGCTGTGGAGGAGCTCCCCACAGCTATTGGCCCAGCAGTACGTGCTTCCCAGACCCTTTCCCTCGCAGAAGGCATCACCTCCACGTTTCACCTGCTTGCTGTCACACGCAGCTGCAGGGAGATGCAGAGGGGGTACCTGTGTGGCAGGAGTTGCTGTGCTGCTGCATTTCCACTCTCTCTAGAAGAGCTGGAGTTGGAGTTGGAGGCCCCCTCTAAAATTCAGGAGCTCCTTGATTTCCCTTTGAGCACCATTTTTGTTTTTTTTTTTTTTTGCAAAAGCATGTCCAGAAGCCACACTGCAACTCCCAATGCATTTGGGATCCTTTGGAAAGAAAGGATGACGTAGCCTTCATTATCATTGACAATGATAACGTCAATGACAATGTTAATCACCCTTTCTGGTGATCTAAACCTGAGGGGCTTAGAGACTCAGAACTAATCTTTAAGCTCTTTCATACTGCCTTGCTACCTTCATCTTGTTTGTACCTTCCCAGACTTATTATATCATTTACATGTTACACAAATCTATGTCAGTAAAGCTTTAAGCTATGCCTCATCCACTTTTTTCTCTGTATGAACAAATATCTCCTGGTAAAAAAAATGTTTCTAAAATACAATTCATCTCATCTACAAGAGCATACTACCCTGCTTTTGGTAGACAACATATATAGCATAGTATCTCTGTGGCACTTTTTCGCTGTAGACTTGCATTTTGTGAATTCTACCTTTATGACGATGGCAACATAAAATTGCCACCAGCTATATTAATTTGTTTTAATGCCTACTATATTAATTTCATTCACTATTATTCACAATGGGCAGCTTAATCATAAATTAAATCCATCTTTTAAATATATAACAGCATTAGAACATTCTTCTAAAAATTAACATTTCTGATTGCTTACTTTTTATGTTTCAGCAATTGTAGCCATCCTCAGGATAAAAAGCCAAGTAATTGGTAGTATATTAACTGCCTGAATTGCTTCTTTCTGAAGGGTAATGAGTGAGATTTAATAATCACTCCATTTTATAGTATTTTATTCTCTTTCTCATATCTTGATAATGACAGAGACTTCTGCCACAGGTTGCTTCAGGGTAGGACAGGATTAAGCTGTTACTGGAAGCAAGCATCATTCTCTGCCCATATACAGTTATCCAAACAGCAGGAGTTTACCTAATTTTTTCTATTTTAGTGTTAGTATTGTAGGTTAATCTGACTGTCACATATATTTAGAGTCACTTGATGTGACTAAGTATAAAACCCTCTCATTCTATATTAAAAAAATTATCACTCTGCAGAATTCAATTATTCAAGCCAAAATTTTTCCTATTAGTGCTACCCCTTAGGCTGACTTTCTTAACGCTTTAGCTAAAACAGCCTTTCAAGAAAAGATTAGTACAAAGTAGACAACTCTATCAAATTTATGAACTTGCTATCAATTTTTTTAAGGAAACTTTAAGCACAAACAAATATCTGAAATATCTCTTTATTTCCTGTAAAAAAAAAAAAATCCATCTTTTTAAGCAGAATCGCAATGATTCCTTAGCGCACATCTAGTAGAGATACTAAAAGCATTGTATTTTGATGGCAATTGTCAATACTCCTCAAATGCTAACATGCTCATCAGTCTACAAGGAAAGTTTTCTGTAAGGTCTGAGGGTCAGCCAGCAGTGGTAATACCTCAATGCCTTTCAGTCAAAAGCATAAATACTGGGCAGTGTTTTTCTGGCTGCCAGAACTGGCAATAAGATTTTGTCTCAGCTCTTACTGATGTATGTCAGTACTTCTTAATACTATTTAGCCCTTCCTACTGAATAAAGCTTCTTTATGTAGCTTAAAAATCACATCAGAGTAACTTCCACAGAATTCCTTCCTCTCCATTTTACATACAGAGCAGCAAGGAGCTGCAAAGTCAAATAACCAGACGCCCTTCAGTGTGGCAGACAGACCTTTTGCCACATATTCACACTGCTTTTCAAAATATGTGTGCTGAATCTATAATTTGGCTAAACATTTATTCTTGTTCTTCCATTGAAAGGGCATCTCATCAAAAGCTGTGAAGGTTGGCTGGGTTCCTTTAGTCTTCAAATTAATGTCAATTTCTTCATTAGGTGAGGCATTTCAGAGGTGAAGATTGTTTACCCCGGCGATCTTGGGTACAGATATTTTTAAATCTACCTTTTTCAAGGAAATATCCAAAGTAATTTTACCTATCATATGGGTGCTCTGCAGTTAGTTTCTGCATCTCTTTTCACCGTCTTCATTTTGCATGCAAAATGTATAACACATTAATTCTTGTAAAGTGTAAACAGAAGGCAAAGTTTAACAGTAGCCTGTTTTATAAGTATTTTGAATCCTAGATTATGACTGAATATTCAATTTTCAATCAATCAATTTATATCTAGCTTTGCTTCCAGAAATACTTATTATAATTCCCCTATTAATGAATTATTAGTTTTCACTGCATTGAGTGGGAATACATCATTTTCAAGGGCCAAATATAGAATAATTACGCTAAAAATTAATGCATCTGGAAAAACTCTGTAAGAAAAGGAAAATGGTAAGGCATTGATACTTTTTTTAGTCCTGTCCTACCTATATGCAAGTACACGATTATTTTGTGCAATCCTTGCTGCTCCTATCCATTTCCACAAACGGTGAGTTACGAGCCCCGGAATGCCTGTGGGAGGAATGTTTCCATCAGTCCTGTAGTCAGTGGCTTCCTTCAGCTCCCTGCTGATGCCCACGAGCCCAGCAGTGAGTCCCTGATCAGAGCTGGGTGTGGTGCCAAGGGCTGCCTGCCATTCCTGACCTGCCAGGCACAGCCAGGCCAGGCAGGCATCCACTGGGGCCGACTTAACACGCCCTTTGCATACTTGCTTAACATTTTAAGCTCCAATTAGTTGCAATTTATGTCCAGTATCACCCTATTAATTCGCACTAATACCTGAGATAACCTTTCTGCCCAGCCAAATCTTTCAAATTAGCAAGCAAGTCAAGTGAAAAAAGTGCAATGGTTCTAAACAGTGATAAGCAATTTATAGGCAAACATCTGTGTTGCTCAGACATCTGGAAAAGTTCCCATGTTTTCAAGACACAAAAAATTTCTCCATGGTATGAATTTCAGAATATTTACCTTTGGTGGGAACCTTCTTGAGAGCAGTGGAGGCTGTTGACTTTGCCTTAACAGATTCACAGGTTAATAAAGGCCTATTTGCAGCAAAATTTCAATAATACTGTGTGCACTATTAAAATGAGTATTTCACATTTATGTTTAAATGTTCGTATTGTTAAAATTTCATTTTTGTTTGCCTAAAATATTTAAATGAATGTCCATACTGAAAAATGTTTTACGTTATGTTTGTGTTTAAATTTCTTTATATTTCACAATTCCATCCAACTTCTCTGCCCAACCCCAAAAATATCTAGAAATATTTTAATATTGTGATCGTAAGGGGATGGTAGGAAATTACAGTGCTCCCCCAGTAAAACACTTACTAATGGTAAGTAAACTGGGGACAAACATTAAACATATCTTCATCTTTTTGAAAAAATTGTTTCTATATAATTACAGATCACATCTAATGACTATTTTTAATGCCTTTCAAGAAAATAAGAGCAAAGAGGAAGAGAAAGATTCCCAACAAATGTGTAATTTTTTTATTTAACATTGGATTATAAAGTTAACATAAAGTCTTATAATTTCAAACAGCTCGGATGAAACTCACTTAACTGTCAGTAACAGTTTGATACACATTTTAACTGATTTCCTAAATCAAACTTGGGCATATTCCAGTCTGTACATAGCTCAAACTAAGACACTCTCTGGTTCTATTACTTTTATGAAAATGTCCCAGATCATTCTGTACTTCCCTTTTTAGCTACTACTTTTTGAAAAAAAGTCACAGAGCCCAGTTATAAGAAGTCTTGGTGAGGAACACAAATGGCCACGGAAGTGTGCAGTTTATGATTGTAGTATCTGGGTCAAATAGCAAAGAAAGGATAGAAAAGATTAAGGATTAAAAATTGCCTAAGACATATGAATGATGATGTGAAAATAATTGTGATTGTAACAATTCTGGGTTTATACAACAGAAGTTTGATTCCTGCGCATTAATACAATAAAGACTTCACTTCTTTATCTCTGGCTTTGAAGAGATAGGGGAAGATGAGTAAGCTGTCAGTTTCAATTAATGTTTTGTCATAAATATTTATAGCCCATGGAAAACAATTGCATGGCTCTTTATGATTGAGCTAATTATTTATAAATCATATTCTAAATGTATTAACATAATTCTTTTACAGAATCTTTGGCTTTTAATAAATGAATATTAAAATGTCTGGGTTACAATAAATGGGATAGAAGAATCTTTTTAAAATGAATGAGTAAGTATGAGAGGTTTCCTTTCACTTTTTCCACTTACTGGGTCAGCCCTAAGGCTTTTTCTTTATAAGCCTTGAAATATATTGCTTCTTTTGTTCCAAATTTCAAAATTAAAACTATAAAGTGTAAATTGTTACTAATAGAAAACCATGACCTAACACGCATATATCAGTTAGGACATGGACGCAGTAAAAGTATTCATAAGTCTGATGGGAGTTTCCAAATCCCAGGGGTTTAGTCTCATCTTTCTGACTGAAAAATACTTGAAATAAGACAAAAGACAGTATTTTGTAGGTTGCAAGTCCCAGATCTCGTTTATTTATAAAGCAATAAATATTAGAAGCACAAATAAATTGCACGGGTGTGTAAACAAACTGTACAATGACTGAAGAGTTCGGGAAGGTTTGCCAGAAGACTCCAAGAAGCATATTGTCGTCATCCTGAGTGGGAGTAAATTGAGGGGGGAGTGCTTAGAAGCACTTGCGGTGTACAATGGATGGACCAGCCTCATCATACTCCTGTTTGCTGATCCACATTTGCTGGAAGGTGGACAGAGATGCTAGAATGGAGCCACCAATCCAGACAGAGTACTTGCGTTCAGGAGGAGCAATGATCTAGGATAAAGAAAAGCAACAAAATCCTCATTTCTGAACAGTGAATGTGCATTGTCAATGCTACATACCAGTAGATATTTCCTTAATCAAGTAAAGAACATTTCTATAATGGTATTGATCTTCAGCAGCTCTTAAAATACATGTAATGTATTTAAAAAAAAGCTGTAATTGTATTCTCTTCTAACCAAGATAATTATTCTGATTAAATGGAATTTCTGCTCATCTGCCCATCAGCTCTTGATCTCATTTTTGAGTTGTTCCCACATCCCAGTTTAATGAAGCTGACATTGTCTCCACCTTTATCCACACTTTATAACACAGAGTCAAGTTCCTCACCTTGATCTTCATAGTGCTAGGAGCCAGGGCAGTGATTTCTTTCTGCATGCGGTCAGCGATGCCAGGGTACATTGTTGTACCACCCGAGAGGACATTGTTAGCGTAGAGGTCCTTGCGGATATCAATATCACACTTCATGATGCTGTTGTAGGTAGTTTCATGGATACCAGCAGATTCCATACCTTGAGGAAAAAAGACAGTAGGCCAGTGAATTATACAAGAGGTCTCCATGAAATGAAACGTTGGCATTCCTGATCATTGCTAACATGAACTTCTTTGGCCCTTTTCTTGTAAAAATGTTTCCTGATTATAAAGTGTTACAGAAAAATATTTAAAAAAGAGAATTACAAAACTAATTTAGAAAGTGAACTTTATTTGTTAGAAAAGGTAAGAATCATAATGCATGTGCAAAGGCAAGAGACTCAAAATATAACAAGTAAGATAACAAGTAGACATATAAGATAAACTCATTTAGTAAATGTCAGTGGAAGAAGGGTATCAAGAACAGAAAACGTGACTGACTATTGGTTTACGTCAGTCTCACTGAAAGCATTAGCTGAATATAGTGAAGACAGCAAATGAAGACAATAAAAATAGTTGAAGTAGAACTAAAGAAGACAATAGTAACTTCTTCAGTCTACCCAAAATGTAGTCTATACCACTCAGAATCATCAAGGCAAGACATAAACGTGACACAGAATTAAGATATTCATACTTGATGGTAAGAAAAAAGAAACAAGAAGCAAGTGGTTGTAGGTTGCATTCCAATTTGTTAATTTTAACAGGTGCTTCCTGAAAGGGCTGACACTGGATCCACAGTAAGAAGTCAGCTGATGAACAACTGCATGTACTACTTGGGACTTAAGAGTGTAACATTTGCTGCATCCGTCAGCTGCGTGCACGACCAGCAAGGCTTACCATCTCGACCATGGCAATGTTAATTAGAGTGTATATAAATACACACACACCTTCACTCCGTGTCCTTCCCCTCTCTGACACTTTACTTCTTCATGGAAATAGACACTGTTTCAAGTGTAAGCCTTACAAATACAGCTCTGAAGGCTATTCTTACCATCAGTGACACAGAATCATAAAATGTCTTGAGCTGGAAGGGACCCATAAAGATCACGAAGTCCAACTCCTTAATGATGGTATTGTAACTGTATGTTTTATCATTAAAAAACTGTGACCCTAAAACTTGATCTAAACCTTGCAGCAAGAGCCTGGAACTCAGCTAATTACCAGATTAGCTCACATCAAGCCCATCTTATAGGAACCAAATGATCTAAATTATTATTCATTCATGTCGGATTTTGTGCCAAATTTAGGTAAGCAGGAAGGGGAGAAGGGCACCTTCCAAATCTTCTGATTCATTCATACCTCCTACAGAAAGGAGAATTTCCTGGGAACACTTACCAATGAAGGATGGCTGGAATAAGGTTTCAGGGCAGCGGAAACGTTCGTTACCAATTGTGATCACTTGACCATCAGGCAATTCATAGCTCTTTTCCAGAGAGGAGGAAGAGGCAGCAGTGGCCATTTCATTCTCAAAGTCCAGTGCAACATAGCACAGTTTCTCTTTGATGTCACGGACAATCTCACGTTCCGCTGTGGATATAGGAGAATCAAATCAAGCTCTGGATAAGCACAACACTAGAGAAGATGGTGGGCCAAGAGAGACGTGAGGGTTTTCACAGCAGGGAAAAGCTGAAGGACTGACCTGTTGTCACAAAGGAGTAGCCACGCTCCGTGAGGATCTTCATGAGGTAGTCAGTCAGATCCCTGCCAGCCAGATCCAGACGCATGATGGCATGAGGCAAGGCATACCCTTCGTAGATAGGCACATTGTGGGTGACACCATCTCCAGAGTCAAGAACAATACCTGGGAGAGAAATGTCAGAGAGCAGCTGTCATCACCTAGAGAATGCTTAGACCCCTTACACACAGGACGCAGCAAGAGACACAACAAAATAAAGGATTTTTCAGGCAGTATAAAGTAGCATAATTCTTTTTCAGTCACAAAGATCTTTTCAATTCTTTCTGCCTTTGCTTGCCTAGACATTCGTAAGGGGTGTGAATTTTCACACAGAATAGTTGCTCCACACATACTTTAGGATAATCCATAAAACCTGCCTTCCACCACTACTGTACTGAGCGGTAAGAATATTTGCAATAATGATTGTCTTGCTCTGATAATGGGCATCTTTGGTCCAGTCTAAACCCTTAAACTGGTTTAACACTTTTATGACTGCAGTATCCCTACAGGAATATCTCCTCATTTGCACCACAACAAGCAGTGCCACAGCCAGTTCCATGGTGCCTCTCCAAAAGCAATGCAAATTGTCTGTGGCAAGAACAATGTGGACCTATTTTGTACTGGCTTTTATACTACTGTTATCATTAATAGCTATAAACCAAAAAGACCTATTTTTCTGTAAATTTAATATGTTTTCCTATTTAGAATGGAAAGGAAGGAGAGTTCCTGAAAGGAAACAGAACCTAACCTGTTTATTTGTTTGTTTTACCTGTTGTACGACCAGAAGCATACAGGGAGAGGACAGCCTGGATTGCCACGTACATAGCAGGTACGTTGAAGGTCTCAAACATGATCTGGGTCATCTTTTCACGATTAGCTTTAGGGTTCAAGGGGGCTTCTGTGAGCAAAGTAGGGTGTTCCTCAGGGGCCACACGGAGTTCATTGTAGAAAGTGTGGTGCCAGATCTTTTCCATATCATCCCAATTGGTGATGATGCCGTGTTCAATTGGGTATTTCAAAGTAAGGATACCTCTTTTGCTCTGAGCTTCATCACCCACATAGGAATCTTTTTGACCCATACCAACCATAACACCCTAAGAGAAGAAAACACAGAAAAGCATTATGTGAGGAAGATGACATCACAGAGCCCAAACAACTACATCACAGACAGCTGGCCTGAGGCTGAGTCAGGAGAGGTTTAGGCTGGATATTAGAAAAAGGTTCTTCACCCAGAGGGTGATTGGGCACTGAACAGGCTCCCCAGGGAAGGGGCCACAGCACCAACCCTGACAGGATTCAAGCAGAATTTCAGCAACTGTCTGAGGCACATGGTGTGACTCCCAGGGCTGTCCCATGTAGGACCAGGAATTGGACTTGACGATTCTTGTTGGTCCCATCCAAGTCAAGATATTCTATGATCCTTCAATTCTAACTATCTTATTTTCAAGAAAGGTACTAGCAGTCACACCCCTGAAAGGCTGTTTGCGAAAATAAATTTAACATTATTAAAATATTAAGTCAACAGAATCTGGGGTGTTCTCATAAAATCTTTTTTTCCTTCCATGAGATTAATATATTTTCGCCCATTTATAATACACCTCTTATATTGATATTCTTTTTTCTTATTTGTTTCTTTCTGATTTCCAAAAATTTGACTGAAAGTAAACTGCGCAATATCATGAGCAGGAAAAGGAGTTTGTAAACAAGACAATACAGAGGGAAACCAGCATTCTACTGATCAGATACTTCATATTACTTTGCAACCTTAGCAGTAATTTATCCAGGATTAAAAAAAAATGTACAATTTTTAAATGTTTTCATTAAAAAAACCATTTTTATGGAGTGTCCTGCCTCGGTCCTGCCTCCGAATTTACCTGGTGCCTCGGGCGACCGACGATGGACGGGAAAACGGCCCTGGGGGCATCGTCCCCGGCAAAGCCCGCCTTGACCAGCCCCGAGCCATTGTCGCACACCAGCGCGGTTGTTTCCTCGTCGTCACACATCTTTGGCAGGAATCACGAACCTGGAAAACAGCGGGGCAGCCGGCTCAGAGCCCCGCGGGCAGCCCGTCCGCGCCCTCCCGCCCGCCATCCCGGGAGCGCGGCCGGCTCGCTGCGGCGGGAGCGGAGCGGGAAATTTGAGCTGTCCCGGAGGATGCTCCACGGCTGCTGGGCAGGGCTCTAAACGGGATCCGTCAGCCGCCTTCTTCTCCGCGCTCTAAAAGCCGCCCCAGCTTGCAAAATGCTCAATGAAGGCGTCATTAGCGGATCCCTCTGGCCGCAGATCGAGAAGGGAGGGAAAGCTTTTTAAATCGCAGGGATGTGTCCGGC